TTTCTGTCTGTTAACCGGTCATTTATATTTATCCCTGTCGCATGCGTTAAAATACAGACCACGCAGATGGAGTGTCCAGGATGGTATATCTTCGTTTATTAAAAATTGATCTCAAAAAATATTATGTCGCATGGCTAATTATAATAATGTTGTTAATAGTATTTAACTTGCTATATTAGGGGACACTAAGATGAAAAAAAATATATACATAATAAAATATATTTTAAATGAAATTATAAATTTTATAGGACTAAATCCGAACAAATATCGGTAAAGAAATAAAGCGTGTAAATCATGAATATTAACAGGAATAGACAATCAGTTGAGGATATGATAAAATGCGGCAGAGGAATACATTTGAAGAGGAAACTGTATTGAAATATAAAACGTAAAGTTTACTTTTTCTGTTTAAAATTTCTCTTCTTTTTTTTTAATATATACATACATTTTTATGATATGAAACTCTTAAAATTCATTGGTGGCAATTTCATAAAATAGGGGTTGGCAAAATTGTTGTAACAGTTGGAAATATTACTGATATTTTCTTTGAATAAAAAGATTTAGGAAGGAGTATAATAGGGTAGGGATCCTTGACAGTTCTGTTTGACGATTCGTTTGAAACATTTGAATTCGATTTGAAATGTTGTGGATTTGTCTGTCTACTGAGCTTATTCTTTGTTATTTATTATTTATTCTACAACTGGTAGTTTTATTTAGAGGTAGTAAATCTAGAAGCATTTTTTTTGTGTCAAAATTTAAATAGCAGTGACGCTATTGCGATTTATCGAAAAAGACTTGTAGACAAAAAGATTGTAAAATTGTAGCTGGTTGTGTAGCGTGCGGTAGATATCGGTCAAAAATTGCGGGAAATAATGGAATTACTTTTCTCTAGTAAGCGAGTAGATTAGTAGTAAACTGATCATTTATGAAATTCACTTCAAATTAACTAATTATAATTTTTTTCTTGCACCAATTGTGCCGTATATCACCTGTAACGTAGTCACCAACCTACGCAATATCATACCTTGTTTTCTTTGTATCATGTTTACTACTTGTCAAATATTAGATGTCAAAGAATTTAGATACGTCAATTTGACTTACCTGTTTCAGTAGTGTATCGGATATTTGTGTTAATAATTATTATAACTTATCTATTTTTATAAAAATTATATATTTTTATAACAATTTTAATAACTACCCACCTTTATTGACAACGTAAAATAAAACAACAAATTATTGAGTCTACCCTACACCATATTTTTACACGTTTTGAATAAAATTAGAACGACACTTATAAATCGGAATTTAAGTCGGCCATTTTTGATCCCCATCGCTCCCCACCTAAGTTTTTTGATATGCTCTTTCCTTAATCTGTTTATACAAGGGATATTTTAAAATAGCTGTTTAACAGGTTTTTGTTGGTGGCAATCATCCTTTAGTTCTATGGTGTATTCAGAAAAATTAAAAAGCATTTTGAATATTAGTACTAAATTAAAATCATGTATTCGTCATTTTAGTGAAAATGTTTATAAAACTGAACACTGGTTATGTGATTGTAAGGCACTCAAAGATATTTAAACTCGGGAGATACAATGATTCATTCATAAAACGCTCTAAACCTTCATCACACATTGGTTTGCGAAAATCAACGAGTGCGAGAGAGAATGAATAGAGAAGGGAATAGGGGTATCTGCTCGATGGCAACAATGTAGGTGTGTCCAAAGATTAGACGTTTGAGGTCAATTTCCAGTGGCGTGCCGATCAACCGACAGTATTTTAAGGAAATTAAAATAATTGTTTAATAAATTTAAAAAAAATAATAACACTTACATATTTGTCGCATTGTAAAAAAAAATAAGTTGAGGGAGGATAGCGAAATAAATAAAAACCGACATATTTTTTTATTATAAGATGGCTTTTCACATAAGAATAACGATTAAAAAAAATCAATAAGCGTTTTTTACTTTATTTTATTAAATAAAATATCAAATTTTGGGTGTATTAGTGAATGCAGTTTCAATATCTTGTTCCAAACCTTGTTCATCTCCGGCGAATGAGTCTCCCTCTTTAGAGGGAGACTCATTTACAAAATAAACTCAATAGAGATATTATAATACAGTCATCAGAAATGTCTAGCGATAATTTTACAAAATCATAAATAAAACATAATGGTGATTGTTTAGTAAACGGTTCTTCCCTTAGTTTTAAAAAATATTTAGTTTTTTTTCTCTTGTTTGCAAAGGAAAATTCATATTGTTTATAAATAATAAAAAGTGCATGTGCAAAGAATTTCAATGCAATAAAATGTAAAAATACAACAAAATCTAAGAAAGTCATAAAATTTACGTAATAAGTACGTATGTCAAAAAATGTCCAATTACACTTTAGCAACCAAAATTTAAAACAAAAGCCGTATAAAATTGTAAGGGCAACAAAAAAAGTAAGGCCGCAAAATTCCAATTTTGGTACACCCCAATAAAATTTTCACAAAAGGTAGGTAATGATTTGTCAAACCCAAATAGGTACCTAGATTATATTTATTCTTTTAACAATGTACGGTTTTTCGAAAATAGATGTTGTTTATAAATTACAGGCGGTTTATAGAACTTAAATTTAATTTTTAACATCCAATACCCTTTCTTAAAAGGGAGACAGAATTTGTTATTAACTTATTAGTAATTAGTACGTACCATGTACCTTTTTCCTACAAATAATTTAATTAATAAACATATAATTTAAAAAACATAATAAATATATAATTTAAAAAATAAATATAATTTAGAAATCTGCTATTTTTTATGTCTAGGTACGCTTACTGATCTACAGAGAATAGGATATAATAATATGCCTAACCCTATTTATTTTTATTTACCGGTGAAAAGTTAAATTTGGATTTAAATGATACACTCTCTTGTACACAATACATGAATGCACCATATTTTCAAATTAATGTCCATAGAAGTCCACAAAATAACGCAAAAATACTATAATACTGCAAATAAAGAATACGGTGCTTGATCGGCGGCATAGCAACATCGCAACAGGAGAATCTAGGAATTCTCATTCGTCCTCGAAATCCGTTGTACTACGCCGGCATATTTCTAAAACTGACGTTGCCAAACTGCTTTTTATTGTTAAAAGAAACACGACTATGATATTTTATTCCATTATAAAATTTAAAATAGTTAAGCAGTTAAGCATTAAATGAAAAAATTGACGTTAGCAAATTAATGTACGTGATATAGAAATATAACGAAATTATTTATTACTTAGTAATTGGTTGTGGTATTTAATCGAATACTAATACCAATATACAGGTAAATCTGGCAAATGTTTTCGGTGTAAGAGAGATGGGAAAATAAGGATAGAATAATGGCCGATGAAGGAAAAAGGTAAACAATTGTATCTCTTGAGTTTAAATATCTTTGAAGGCACTCATTAAACTTTTTTGTTGGCCTTGTCTACTATATTATCTAAAGGTGCGTCCACATTGCTCGTGATCCTGCTCGCGCTCTTGCTTCTGATTGTGCTTGCGTTGCTTTCGCTTCCTGTTTGTCGTGTTTCTCAAGATCTTTCGGCTCGCAAGCAACGGCGTCCACATTGAAATGTAGTGCTTGCGTTCGTGCTGCTCGCACACGTATGATACCGAAGTATTTTTAATAGCGGCTGCTAGCGCGATCATTATTGCAAAACGAAGGAGACAAAGGGAAAAAAGGGCGGTGTTGGATGTCTAATAATTTCAAAAGTAGATCCCAGCACAGTGAAAGTAAACATCTACGCGATTTACAAACATACAGAATGTTTTTTAATATTTTTTATCTCATGTCCGCTACTGATTTTGAAAGACTTATTAACTTAGTTGGCCCCTGTATAGAAAGGATAAAATACGACTTTTAGAAAGTGTATTTCGGTTAAAGAAAGAGTTAAATAAAGATTGGCCATAACTTTAAGATTCTTTGCAACTAAAGACTCACATACCTGCCAGTTTGGGTTATTTATTGAAAGTTTCCAAGCAAAGCATTTCAATAATAATACCAGGCGTATGCCAAAATATAAATAAAGTTCTCAAAAAGATCAGATTAAGATAAGTAGGCAATATAAATATAGAGTTATATTTTATTAAAGGTATATTTAATATTACTAATCCAAGAACAAAACACAAATATTTGTAATTCTGAACAAAATAAAATAAGAAAAATCATGGTAGTATCATCATACTGCAGTAAATACCGAATCCTATACCTGAAACCAAACTAAAAACTTAACAAACAACGTAAACTAAAAACCAGATCGAGCGCTTCTAATCGTTCGTCCTGCTCGCGAGCAATGTGGACGCAGCTGAACAGACACGTTCACAACTTTGATTTTTTGCCTAAATTTAGTTCTTTTTGTAAATTGGTTTATTTTTTAAGCTGTTAAATTTTTCAAAAAACTAATAAAAAAAAGAAAAAAAAACTGTTGTGTTGGTAAAATTTTAGTTGCAGTTACTTATTACATCCTCTTGTATTGACGCCACGCTACGCCGCTGTATTTAACTGCATTAACTATGAAACACGGTAAAATAACTTTATTAACGATTATTTAAATATTATTTTTATTGTAGGGTATCCAACCACCGCCACCCACAGCCGGCAGCACAAGAAACCACGCCACTGCTGTTTAACAAATGAGAAACAGTTCTAGTCAAAATATGTAGTAAACGTATATCGAAAAATTGTCTTTTAAATCGTACGAATTACATAGTTTTGTGTATATATTTTTATAAGTAAAATGATGCTGTATATCGCGAAGTATTTAATTTTTGTTAATTAATTATTAATCAGCTAATTCACAGAGATGTGATTCGTCTTAAAGAAGTGATATGAACGCTGGCAGTTTTATGAATGATGAGGCAACTGATATGAGTTTTAAGTTAACGTAACGATTGGTAAGAAAATGATTGGTTATTTGTCTTTTTTTTAGTCGTATTATACAGGGTGGTCCGAATTGTATTCAACTTTTGGTAAGAAGCCTAGTTTTTATTACTTTTACAACTCGATAAGACTTTTTTCTTGATTCAGGCTAAGCGCTGACATGCAATTTTGGTCGGCCGATTATACAGGGTGATTCAGTCATGGTACTTTAGACGTTTATGGAGAACCAGTGATTTTTTTTGTATAAGCACCTGCTCCATCTGTCTAGAAATTATTTTCAAGCATTACAGTGTTGCCCTTTCATAATGAAAGTGGTATTAGCATCTTTGTTACTTTAAAAGGAACACCTGGTATATTATTACATTTTCTAAACCACTTTCATATCGTAATTTTTCTATTATATTAACCTATACACATATGTTTAATAAGCTGTCGAGATAAAAATTAATTGTGTAAAATTGACAGAAATATGATCTTGAATAAGCGTTGGTTAAATCACTTTCTGGAGCAATTTATTATCCAAATTTCAACTTTTCAAATGTTCAATTCATGATTTTACCAATTCTTATTCAAGAACATGTTTTTGTCAATTTTAAACGTTTTATTTATTATCTCAAAAATATTCAGAGATAGGTTTACATAATAGAAAACTTATGAGTATGAAAGAAATTTCGAAAATACCAATAATATACCAGGTGTTCCATTTAAAATAGAAAAGATACTACCATTTTTCAAATGATGCGGCAACGTTGTAACGCTGAAAATAATTTAGACAGATGGAGCAGAGTCTAATGCTGCAATCGCCGTGAATAATTGGCCGACCAAAAATTGCATGTCAGCGCACTAAGCGCGTAGCCTAAGTATAACAAATAAATTTAAAGACCCTTTGCAAAAGATGCTTTGTAAATATAGACCTAATATTTTCGTGTATAATAAATAGAATATAATTAAAAAAAAACTGGCGTCAGCGATGGCTATGAAACGAAGCTGTCATTTTATATATAAAATTGTATGGGGAATGTCATCGATCGCGCGTCATTTCCAAGCCAACTGGACGCCGTTTTTTTTTCGATCTTACGGTACTATATTTTTAAGAGTTTGTATATAATTGTATAAATGTTGTGCAATGGAAGTACTGTTAAGAATTGATAATAAATCAGGAATGAATTATTTTAAATACTTTTTATATTTTATTCATTTATTTACACCCTTATAATAATCTAATAAATATTAAGATTATTTTTATATAAAGTTTAAAAATGATCACAACTATTATCAAGTCATTTATCAATTAATGTGCCTCGAACTTTCTTAATTTCTTGTGCCTTATTCTGTTCTTGTTTCCTTTTGTTTGTTCCTTTTCTTTCTAATTGTTTTTCGATAATTCTTGCATTGTTTGCATAACTATCAGCTACTTCTCTCTACAAAAAAAAATAATTTCTGTATACAGGGTGTCCCACCTTCGTGTGTTTTACAGGGTTTCTCGTTTATGAGTAAAGATACACATTACTGTAATACTTTTTTATGATTCATTCTTGAAATACGACCAAAACTTATATTTTTTTTTAAATGGGACACCTTGTATATTGTTTTTTAAATTTTATTTGCCTTGTTTTGAGCTTTCTAAAAATATAACATTACTCTATATTTATTTTCATCAATCCAAAAATGCATTTTTTATGCATCTTTACACCTATCTACACTGATAAATGAGAAAACCCATAAAACTCATTAAATGGAATGAATATTAATAAATAATTAAAATAAAAAATCTTACAGCTTCAATTTCGTCCTCTTCCTCATCAATTGTCGAGACTGTTACTGAACTGAATTTTCCCATATTTTTAGTGTGTTTTGTGACCATAATTTTCTTCGGTTTCTCTACAGCAACCTAAAAAAATACATTAAAATCAATTAATCCTTAGCATATATTAAAACAAGCAAGAATTACTTGGTTATAGATATCTGTAATCGGTCCTTCGTTAGTAGATGTAATCAGAGATCCCCGCACTATGAAACTTACGGGACTCTGAGCTTCGTGTTTGTAGTATAGCAGTAACCCACATTTTTTACATTTCAATCTACAATAAAATACATATAAATGATCATATCCCTACAAAACTCAAGTTATATCTACCTAAATTGTCTTTCAATCCCTTCTGGTCTTTTCAGATACACTGTCTCGTCCGAATCGCATGTTATTTTATGAGCATGATTTGTTCCATCTAGAACTCTTGCACCATCGCGTTTACGCAGTGGAAGCTTCTCTATAGAACAATCTAAAATTTATGATTACTTATTAAAGAAAAGAAATGTACGATTTTATTGAAATTTACCTAAAATAAGGGTCATTTGGCCGCACAGACAGTAATAAATATGTAAGGGTTTTTCATCTCCATATTCCTCTTGATCTTTTGTATCAGAACAAGCAATACTTCTAGATACTACTTTGGGCATTGTTGATAACTTTACTTCGCTATATTTTATATTAGATTTTATAACATTTATCTATAAACTTACACAAAATAGTTAAAAACGTAGAAACATTCTCCTTTTTTTGCTTCTTGTATTATTTTGTTATTTATTTATTTATTTACTATTTCTGTACTTGTTTATTTGGTGTTGTCTTTGTCTAATAATTAACCATAGATTACAATTTACAGTCACCCCTTTTGGTTATTTTTTTAGGACACTGACCAGATGACCTATATGAGTTCAAGCCATATGAGAGGAAAGAAGAGAATATCAATGTCGAGTCTGTGGTTATCCATGTTTCGAGCCATAAATATAAAAAAAGAAGAACTTTATTTTTATCTGTGGTTACAGTTCTTTTAAGGCTTAAAATACGAAAAAGAAGAAGAATCGAGGTGGCGCCATTTTGGAAAAGGTGAGGAAATTTTGAAACACAGAATAGGTGCATTAAAAACAAATTAAAAAGGAACTTTTGAAAAAAATAGGTACTTTTGAAATAAAATGTTTTTTACTTTTTTCAATTCCTAAGGTAATCCACAAAGGTCATTTTGACAAGCATTAGTAAATCAACCAACCAGCAAATTTACGGTTTTGTTTTTTAAATTTGAAATTGTTTTTATTTGAAATTTATTTCCAACACCCTGTATATGAAATCTATCTTAGTAAACATTTTTCTTTTATAATATATGCACTGCTTTTATTTTTCAACTATAGGAAAAAGAAGTAAAACGCGGAATTTATTTAAAAAAAAACATTTTTATATACAAAAATTCTTAGGTAACAATAACATTAAATGAGCAATACGTCTATATAAAGTACCTCTAACCTGGCTAAAGTCTCTGAAAATTGAATCATACAAAAATCTAATCTAAATAATAGTCTTTAATTAAAATATAAGAAACAATTGTTTT